GGGGGCAGGGAGGATGGGGCGATGTAGGGGAATCGGGGGAATTATGGGGCTGAGGGGAAAGAGGCTGGAATGGAGGAAAGATGTGGGGGGGGGTCACTGCGAGGGGATGGTGAGAGCAAGAGGAGACTGGCTGGGGAAGGGAGTGGAGAGGGGCAGGGAGAAGGCAGAGGGCAAGGAGCGGGGTGGGGAGAGACACAAGGCAGCTCCCCCGCCCCATGGGGTAGGAGAGGGGGAGGAACTGCCCTGTCCAGCAGCCAGCTGGGAATGTTTTCCTGTAACTGGCCAAACACACATGGGGGGCAGGTAGGGTGACCAGATGTTCCGATTTTATAGGGACAGTCCTGATAGTTGGGGCTTTGTCTTATATAGGTGCCAGGTACCCCCCAACCCCTGTTCTGATTTTTCACCCTTGCTATCGGGTCAGGGGACTATCCCCTCAGGGCTCAGAAACTACACAGCAAATATCCAGCCCCCCCCAAATCTATTAAAGACAAACCCATGCGGGCAGGGGACTGGACTCGATGACCTCTCGAGGTCCCTTCCAGTCCTAGAATCTATGAATCTATGAATCTATGATTTGGGGGTCCGTCTGCTGAGTTGGGGCTGCCCAGGGCCCTGGTCTGATTTCCCTGTAGGATTCAGAGTAGCAGCCGTGTTAGTCTGTATCAGCAAAAAGAACTGGAGTACTTGTGGCACCTTAGATTTTGTTAGTCTCTAAGGTGCCACAAGTACTCCTGTTCTTTTTGTAGGATTCAGATCTCAGCCACACCGGAGTCAGACCGGAGTCACTGCTGGCTCTGGCGGAGGGTGAGTGCGGATGGGCCAATGGGATCAGCCTCTGCCTGCCTGTCCCTGGGGGCTGCAGGGGCAGGACAGGGAGGCTCAAACATTAGCTGCTGCCCTCGAAGGCTCCGGTTCTGGCTAAGGGAGAGGAGGAGGCCGGGGTGTGTCTCTCCCTGCTCATGTTATTACAGCTCTGAAGTTGAGCTCCCTGGGTCAGAAGCTGCCTCCTCCATTCAATTTCTCCGGTGGCTGGAACCAGCCCCTCGGGCAGCCCCGGGCTCTGCCAACACCAGCCCCTGAGCCGCAGCCTGCAGGTGAGGAGAGACCTGGGGGAAAGGGCTGGGGCCAGACAGGAAAGTGAATCTGCACAAAGAGCCCCTCTCCTGGACCGGCTGGTGAGTTTGGCCTACATGGGGAGGGGCTCCCTGTGTGTTTGAGACTCCCAGAGCTGCTGCTCTCACGGACATAGCCAGGTTCAAACCCCTGTTAGCAGTGGCAGTGGCTGATCTGCCTAATGAGGGGAAAGGCCCAGGACAATGGGGGCAGTCACCAGTTCTCCAAGGAGAGGGAAGAAGATAAAAAGGGGGAGCGGAGAGACTGAAAGGGGCAGCAGGAAGTGGGGAGGGAGGCTCACAGCCCTGCCCCATCCGTTCCCTGCCCTCTGGGCAGACTGACACTCCTGGGCACAAGGGACGGAGCTGAGAGAGGAAAAACCAGTTCCTGACTCCACTGAACACTCCTTTGATTCTGCTCTTTTTCTAGCTTTTGGCTCGGAGGTGCTGTTATGAGGAGAGTTTAAAAGTGCCCCGGTGGGTTTAGTTCTGCTGGGAGGGGCCTGGCCGAGGTGGTAATAAACGAACTGGGTTTCTCCCCAGCGTGGCAGAGTCCAGAGCGTCTGTCTGCAGGGAGAGAGCCTGGGGGGAATCAGTTTATGAAATGGACGCAAGCCCCTTCTGTAACCTCCCCAATCGCCCCGACAGGCTGAGGAATGATGTCCATGTTTCGCTCCAGATCTTCCCGTTTTCCAGGAGACAGGGAAGGGAAATGGCTGTGATGGAGCCAGCTCAGGTAGGGGATTTTCAGGGAGCTGCTGGGCGGGGGGAGGGAGAGGCAGGGAGGAAACAGGGTGTGATCAACCTGCTGATTTTCTGAACAAGCCCATTGGCAGGGAGGGGGAAACATTCCCCCATTTCTCAAACAGGATATAACCCCCTCAGCAGGGCTCAGAACATTTCAAAACTCCCAGTGCCAGAGCCTGGACCCACTAACCAGAGGCTGCGGTGAAATACAAAGGGAAGCTGTCAGGATTCCTGTCCCGTGCTCAGAGCCAGGGCCGGCTCCAGGCACCAGCTTAACAAGCAGGTGCTTGGGGCGGCCAAGGGAGAGGGGCGGCACCTGCGGCAATTTGGGGGCGGCAGGTCCCTCGCTCCCTCTAGGAGCGAAAGACCTGCCGCTGAACTGCCGCCATCGATCTCGGCTTTTTTTTTTTTTTTTTCCAATTGCCCCGCCGCCGATCGCAGCTTTTTTTGTTTTGTTTGTTTTTTGTTTGGGGCGGCAGAAATGCTGGAGCCGGCCCTGCTCAGAGCTCTGCTTCCCATATCAGCTTGTGGCTGGCAGGCGTGTGGGAAATAAGAAGACCCTGCCCTGCTCCGTGTGCTGGGGGGGACAAGGAGCTCTCACCTTCTCCCCACCCCCTGAAGCCTCCTGGCTGCTCTGAGCAGGATGGGGGTGGGATTCTGCTACTCTGGTCCTCCCAGAGCTTCTGAGATGTTTTTCTTTTTCTTTCTTCCTTTCTCGTGTGACTAGTGGGATTGTGGCTGGGGCAGCAGGAACTTAGTTGTGGACTCTTGTTGTTCCAGATGCCGGTGACCTTCGAGGAGGTGGCTGTGTATTTCACCCAGGGGCAGGGGGCTCTGCTGGACCCCGCTCAGAGAGCCCTCTACAGGGATGTCATGCAGGAGAACTATGAGATGGTGACCTCGCTGGGTAAGCGATTCCCGTCCCCTCAGTTATTAGAAGCCGTGGGGTCTGCGTGTCTGAATCTGGTCAGGTTCTTCCCCAGTCAGTTAGATCAGAGGCGAGTGGGTTCCATAATGCACAGCTGCCGTGTGAGAGAGACTTGCATCTCGGTGCCCTCTCCAATGGGACAAGGGTGTCAAAACCTAATGGACATGCTAAACCCTGCCCATCCCTCCAGCTTTCAACGGGGCAGAAGTCGTTCATTGTCCTGTCTGTATCGTTTCTTCTTCACACACAAAATCCCTCTTCACTTCCCTTCTTGGGAATAGCTCCAGCCCTGGGGAAGACCCTGGGCCTGGCAGGTTTAGAAATAGGCAGGGGTCTAACTCCAGAGGTGTGCGCGTCAGCAAGACCCCAGAGTGCACAGATCCTGGGAACTCCTAGTGAGGGCGTAACAATTCCCCTCACCTCCTCAGACGTCTGACTCTCCCAAGGGGGCTCAGTGACCATATTCCCATCCTGCTGGATTCCATGTTTCTCCAGCAGAGCACGGGGACAGGTTCCACTTACGGAACGTCCTGTGTGACAGACACTCCCCCAATCATCCATGCGCCCTGATCTGGTCTGATTTCACCCCTGCACAGGATTTCCCATTCCCAAACCTGACCTGATCACCCGGCTGGAACGAGGGGAAGAGCCGTGGGTGCCCGATCTCCAGGCTGCTAAGGAAAGAGAGATCCTGAGAGGCGCCCACACAGGTGAGGACTGACACAGAAACCACCTGGTGAATGAAGGAAAAATATGATGTGAGTAAGAGCCCTCTGTTCTTCCTCATCTCAGCCAGAGCAGGGCTGTAGTCAGCAGATATCACTCACGGCTTTCCACCTGTCCTGTTAGCTGCAGGAGTTTCCTTCCCATCTTTCCTTCCCTGTGAGTGTTTGTGTGGGATGTGGAGGCAGAATCCAATTGTTCAGCCTTCACAGTGTTAGCGTGTTGCGTTTTCCCTTGGTGCTATTCCTCTTTCTCCCCAGCACAATGACTCCTGTCTGGATTGTCTCTCTCTCCCAGCAGGTGCTGAGCGAGGGAGTGAGAATGAGGAGGGGAATCATCATAAGGAAATTCCTGGGGAAGTGGAACCACAGGGGAACTTTATGGGAAGAGCTGAAGGGAATTTATCCCAGTGCTTGGAACACGGAGAAGCCTGGGGAAATTGGCACAGGTCAGAGAGGCTGCTGGGAAACTACCCAAGGGAGCAAGTAGGTGAATCTATTAAATGTAGGGGAGGAGACAAGGATCCCAAAGCCCAGCAGACAAACCCCAGGGAAGAGAAACCCTACCACTGCCTCAAATGTGGGAAAGGATTCATTGTGAGACCACACCTTCTTACACTTCAGACAATCCATACTGGAGAGAAACCACTTCAATTCTTGGACCATGGGGAAAGCTTCAATAACTGCTCAGATCTTAATTACAATGGGAGAAGCCACATAGGAGAGAAACCCTATCAATGCCTCGAGTGCGGGAACTGTTTGAATCGGAAGTCAGCACTGATTACACATCAGATAAACCACACGGGAGAGAGACCCCATATGTGCTTGGATTGTGGAAAAAGTTTCATTCGGAGGTCAGACCTTGTTAGACATCAGGCAATCCACACAGGAGAGAGACCCCATAAATGCTTAGACTGTGGGAAAAGTTTCATACGGAGGTCAGACCTTGCTAAACATCAGGCAATCCACACTGGAGAGAGATCCCATATGTGCTTGGACTGTGGGAAAAGTTTCACGCGGAGTTCATCCCTTCTTCAACATCAGGGAATCCACAGAGGAGAGAACCCCCATAAGTGCTTAGACTGTGGAAAAAGTTTCATATGGAGGTCAGACCTTGTTAAACATCAGGTATTCCACAGAGGAGAGAGACTCCATGAGTGCCTGGACTGTGGGAAAAGTTTCATTCAGAGATCAGATCTTGTTAAACATCAGACAATCCACACAGGAGAGAGACCCCATAAGTGCCTGAACTGTGGGAAAAGTTTCATACGGAGGGCTGACCTTGTTAAACATGAGGCAATCCATACAGGAGAGAGACCCTATAAGTGCTTGGACTGTGCAAAGAGTTTCATATGGAGGTCAGACCTTGTTAATCATCGGGCAACCCACACAGGAGAGAGACCCCATAAGTGCTTGGACTGTGGGAAAAGTTTCATACGGAGATCAGCCCTTGTTAATCATCAGGCAACCCACACTGGAGAGAGACCCCATAAGTGCTTGGACTGTGGAAAAAGTTTTGTTCGGAGGTCTGACCTTGTTAAACATCAGTCATTCCACACAGGAGAGAGACCCCATAAGTGCCTGGACTGTGGGAAAGGTTTCATACAGAGGTCAGATCTTATTAAACATCAGGCAATCCACACAGGAGAGAGACCCCATAAGTGCCTGGATTGTGGGAAAAGTTTCACACGGAGATCAGCTTTAGTTAATCATCAGGCAATCCACACAGGAGAGAGGCCCCATAAGTGCTTGGACTGTGGGAAAAGTTTCATAGAGAGATCACAACTCACTAAACATGAGAGAATCCACACAGGATCTAAACTTCTGTGACCCATGGCCAGAAAGGGTTAAGAAATTTTCAGGCTAATTGACCCAGATTCATCCTTTAGAGACATGTTCGAAAAGTGTGTAAATGGAAATTAGGGCCATTCCCCGTTGGATAGACTAGAACTTTGAAATGTAAACTTTTATTGTTAAAGAACTGGAAGAAGATAACTATAGTAGTCTATGTTTTACCTATATCTTGTTAGAGTTTAACATTGTAACCAAACGGTTCCTGTCTAGGGCTGTATTCTGTTAATTTAGAGATCAAAAGGAAACTTAATGTCATTGTCTCTTTTATATTTTTGGTAAACTCTGTCTGAACTGCTTTATGAGTAAATGTCTTATGTTAATGCCTTTAATTAATTACCGGTGCTGTTTAGGAAATAGAAAGTTACGTCAACAGCCTATTGGTCACCCAAGGACTGCGTGCTGACTAGAGGCTGCAAAAATCTCTAGAAAAACTCTTGCAACGTGATCCTTTTCTCTCAGATCTTTGTTAGTTTTATTCGTGGGGAGTTTGAGTCATTAGACTGAGCTCTCCAGTCCCATCTGCACCACCCTGATATTGGACATTGGACTATAACAGGGGTTCTCAAACTGGGGGTCTAGACCCCTCAGGGGGTCGTGAGGTTATTACATGAGGGTTCGTGAGCTGTCATCCTCCATCCCAAACCCCGCTTTGCCTCCAGCATTTATAATGGTGTTAAATAGATAAAAAGGTATTTTTAATTTATGGGGGGGGTGGTGTCACACTCAGAGGCTTGCTGTATGAAAGCGGTCACCACTACAAAAGTTTGAAAACCTCTGGACTAGAACCTGATGAAATGATTCTGAAAAGGATTCTTTGCAATTCTAAAGCACCATCTCTACTACGAAACTGCCCTAAGGACTCTATGCGTGTCTGTGTGTATAATGATCTTCTAACCAATACTCTCTTTTCTTCTTTTAATAAATCTTAGTTGAGTTAATAAGAATTGGCTGCAAGCGTGTATTTGGGTAAGAACTGAAGTGTTCATTAACTTGGTGGGTGATGTGTCCGATCCTTTGGGATTTGTAGAACTTTTTATATGACGAACCAGATTTTCTGTAATCCCCATCATGTTTCACTGGGCTGTCGGGGAGCGAGCCCAAGGCTGGGTTGCTTTAAGGGAGCTGTGCTTTGGCTTCTGTGTTGCCAGTAAGGTATTGTAGAAGCTGTTCTGTCGTTGGCTTGGTGAACTGAAGTATTGGAATATCCACCAATTTTGAGGAGTGTCGGCCCCATTCTTTGCAGTTTGCCTTAATTGGCTCCCAAGGATCCAGCAGTCGAAGCAAACCCCAGGCAGAGGAGGAAAAGCCCGGATCAGACTCTGCAGCCCTGGCTGCTGAGCTGATGGGCCACAGGCGGGGGAAGAGAGAGAGAGAAACTCCTCCAGCCGCTCCCTCTGCCTGGCTGAAGTCCCCCCCCCCTCCCCGTATCCCCCTGCCATGGACATGAGGAGAAAGACACTTGGGCCAGGCCCCACCTTCACTCTAGACACCTGTACCCACCCCCCATCTTCCACCAGCCCCTGGGCTGGGCTCCCCCACTTACCTGGGTCTGTTCCTTGCACGGGGAGTGTCCCTGAGTGCTGGTAACTCCTCCCCTCCCCAAATCCCCCAAGGCGCTGGGTTCTGGGGGATCAAACGTTAACGGACCAGGGCGATGGGTTCTGGGGAGAGAACTGGGGATTGAATGGCTGGGGCTGAGGGAGCTGGGAAGCAGGGGGAGCTGGGTGCTGGGGCTATCGAGTGTTTGGGGATCATGGGATATGAGGCAAGGGAGAGCACCCGGGTAGAGAGGTGCTGCCTCTCCTCACTCACCCCCTCTGCCCCTTCTCCCTGCTCCCCCTGCATTCAAACAGCACCACTGAGAGGGACTGATTCCCACAGGGCCTTTTGTGGGAGGCCTGGAGATCCCACCTCTGCCAATGTAGCATCAGCCTCTGAGGTTCTCTCTGTGGTAGGAAATGTGGTCGGGATGAGCTAGCCCATCTCTATATCCCTCCACCAGGTTTCCTGGTGTAAACTCTATGATGCTGGCAGACCAGGTGCCAGCTCATGCCAAAGCCCTAGTCCAATTCACTTGTGTATTAGGATAGGATTGATCAAAGAGGTATGTGTATACCCCTATAACTAAATAACCCATCAAACGAGGAAGAAGAAGGCTGGCAAGACAGACTGGAGATTCTAAGGGGACTGTCTGTGAGTCTAGGGTAAGACTGGGATAGTGACCCAGGAGTTCACATTTATCACTGGCTTGATGAAATCTAGTTACAGAACGAAACACCAGCTTGGGGCATCTGCCTGGTTTTCTGCCAGTCTGCCCAGAGGTCGGCACTCATAGCTGTGAACCACTCCAGAGAGCGCGACAAACCAACCTGGAGCATCTTATCTATTCTGATCCCCTCCATTAGCAGAGTGATCGTTAGTCCCTGATTTCCCCTTTGGGGCAAGATTGTCTCATTCCCAGATAGTCTCATGTTACTCCAAGCCCTGCTGAAAAGCATTTGCTGTTTGTACATTTTCTCGCTTATGGGCCAGAAATAAGCACATGCTAACAAAGTGGGAGCAGGGTCAGTAAAATGTGGTGTTTTATCTTCTGTGCTATTTCAGAGCGATGGGGTGAGTCCAAGGGATTCCCGGATTCCCCCAGCACCCTGACGCTCCACTCTCGACACAGCAGCCTCTGTCCCAGCATTGGAGAGTTTTATCATGTCCCTGCTTTACCCTTCCACCTCCCACGGCATAGGCGCTGGCATAGGACCACCCACGGAAAAAAATTGGTGGGTGCTCAGCACACACTGGCAGCTCCCCGCCCCCCCACTCCAGCTTGCCTCCGCCTCCTCTGCGAGCATGCCGCCGCATCCTGCTTCTCCCCCCTCCCTCCCAGCATTTGCACCGCGAAACAGCTGTTTCGCGGGGCGGGGAGGAGGGGGAACGCGGTGCACTTGGGGAAGAGATGGAGTTGGGGCAGGGACTTGGGAGAAGGGGTTGGAATGGGGGCAGGGCCAGGGGTGGGGAAAGGGTGGAGTCAGGGCAGGGACAGGGACGGGGGGGGCGGGCGCGAGCCCCCACCGGCACTGGAGAAAGTTAACACATTTGCCCATTACTTTGGGGTATGCTCATTTATTCGGGTTACTCTTCTGGGGAAGGGGATTCTGTAATCCTATCAATGTACTGCTTGTGTCATTTCTTTCTTCTGCAAGTCCCCTCCCAGTGGAGCTATCCTGCAGGACCTAGGTTCTCTAGGGCTGGGTTACTCCAGCCCCAGAACTGGATGAACACCCACACATACATTAACAGAGCAAGTCTGAGCGGACCAGGTCAATCAGCACTGTCAAGCTGACCCCTTATATGTCTCTGGACTCACTGGGCTGGAGGAAGCAGCACTTTCAAGATGCCTCTCCTTATATGCCCCTGGGGTCCATGGACTGGGTCAAGCAGCACTTTCAAGCTGTTACCCTTATGCGTCCCAGATTCAGCACGTCCCTATCCCCACTCTCACATCTCAATTGTACTGGCAGTAACCTACTTGTTGAGCAAACCCCACAGTATTTTGAGCGCTGCAGGGATCTTTAGCTTAGGTAAAAGAAGCGTTGCTGTAGAGTGAATGGGGGAAGCTAAAACCACAAAAGAGTAAAGTTCAGCGAGAGAGAGAGAAGGAACCCAAGTTAACCATAAAAGTTATTTATTGAATAATAGTGATAACTACACAAGGAGGGCTAAACCAACATAACATACATGATTAAAGGTTAATACCTAAGGTAGAAAGGAAAACAGAGAGAGAGAAGGAGGGGGGATCTCACCCACTCCATGAGGCTTGAACTGGTCGGGGTTCCCAGGTGATGGTGGTAGCGGAGGGTCCTGAATGCTGGAGACAGGCAGAGCCCCCAGCACGATCAGTCAGGAGAAGATGGAGTTCCAGTGGAACTGATGCATAGTTTGGATCTAAGCATCAGACCCCTAACTAGAGGGTGAGTAGGGATTTTTGTAGAGAAAATACAATGGTTCAAGGGAGAACACTAGATTTGTTTATAGGTAAGCTGATGACTCAAGGGTTTTCTTTAGACTAGACAATAGGAGCTGATCACTCTTGGCTATGGGGGTGTTTTCTTCCAGGGAGCTCACAATGCAACTAGGCTGCTTCAGTATTTGGATATCAATTAAGGATTCATTACTAGAATTGGTCTGATAACTGCTGAGCTGGGTGTGTGCAGACATAGGTTCATTAGCATCTGGAGCAGAGATTCCCAGGATGCAGTGCTTCCCTGCTTTTTCTGATCGCAGAGTTCATTGCGGTTCTCTGTTCTCCATTCTGTATGTAAATTGAGATGTCTTCCTGTCCAATCTTTCATGCAGATGAGGCTAGGGGAGTTGTCTTTGCTCTCCATTCTGTATGCTAATAGAGATGTCTTAATCTTGTCACCCTTGTCAGGAGGGGTCTAGGTGTGTCTCCCAACGCCCTTCACTGCTCTCTGCAAGTTTTTTCCTCTGATGGGTTTTGGTTTAAGCAGAGGCTGGGGGCGGGGAGTTTCTTTCATGAGTCAGGTTGGATACTGCACCCTGGTTCCCCAGGAACACAGAGGTGTCTGGTATCAGGACGGGGCTGGGGTGGGGAAAGGGTGGAGTCAGGGTGGGGACGGGGGGGGCGTGAGCACCCACCGGCACCAGAGAAAGTTAACGCCTATGTCCCACGGTGTCACTTACCACCGTGTCCCTGGCTCTCCATGCCCAGGAATCACAGTTTTGATGTCTATGATCCTAAGTCAGAGCCCTGAGTGCTGGAGAAGGAAGTGTCACAAACCAGGCAGGGAATCCAAATGAATCTGAAGGTACATTTTGACCTTTCTGATCTTATAGCCCTGTTTGCATCTGTTGGTAAAATTGCTTCCAGTTTTTGTCTAGGCTAGTCCAGATCATTTGTAGATGGGAAGCTGGTTTGTTTTGGTTTATTATGATGATGCTAAAACTTTTGTAAGTAACACGACCAAATGATGAGGCGAGAAGTAAAGCAGGATTAGCCCCTTTGGAAGAAAATGAGTGCACTTATTTTCTGGATTTTGAGTCTTCAGATTCTCTGGGATTTCACGTTATGAATATGAACATGTTTTATAGCCCATCCTGTGTGGTGGGTTTTTCTCTGTTCCCAAAGGCCATTTGGTCATATAATTTGATATTAGATGAGTTTTGTAGCTCAGATTTATTGACGGCTTCATGAAACAAATGTCCATTTGCCAGAACAGTCCTTTTCAATTTAATTTTAACCTTTTTCTACTCCTTGTGAATTGATTTTTTTCTTTGAACAATGACAGTCATCGATATCCATCAGCACAAACACTGAGGGTGCGAGCTAGATTCACACTCCCAGGGCAGACACTGAAATGGGGAAGGAAATTACAGCCTGATGTGAGACACGGTCAGGAGTGGGAGAGGGTGGGAGATGGGTGGGGAACAGAGCTGGGAAACTGCTGGGTTTGCTCCTCAGAGCCAGGCAGCTGAGGCTGAGACCTGTGAACTTGCTGCATCAGAGCCAGAGAGAGACAGGAATTATCCTGCGAGTATTGGGTCGAGTGTTGAGTATGAAAAAAACCCTACATAAAT